TGCAGAGACTGGGTGCTGGTGCTGAGGGCGGGGAGAGCGGGGGGGGGTGCTTCATTTCCTTCGTGTTGTCCACACCTCTGCTAGAGAAGTTAAAACAAAGGGTGGTCTCAGAGAGGCATGAGGGCCTGGCCCACAGGGTGCTGGACCCTGCCCCCAGGGAGAGGCTGGGTCTCTCCCTGCCTTCTGGCTCTGAATCTATACAGAAGGGACTCCGCGTGCCCCCCCTCCCTCGGTCCTCCTTCCTGGGCTGGTGGTTGCCAGGGAATCTGTGGGCCCGGCCAGGAGGCTCTCCAGCAGCAGGGAGCTCCCTGGGGCCAGGCACCGGGCACGAGGGGCTCTCTCATTTTTTCCTTTCTTTTTGTGTCTTTTCAGTTTTTCCCTGAACTTTATATTCTTCCAGAACATCTTTTTTAAATCAGCTTTATTGAGGTATAATTCACATGTCGTACAATTCCCCCATTTGAAGTGTACAATTCAACAGTTTTTAATGTCTTCCCAGAGTTGTGCAGCTGCCACCACAGTCAGTTTTAGAACATTTCCACCACCCCGGAGAGAAACCTGTGCCCTTTAGCTCCCACCCCACTCCCCAGGCCTAAGCAGCCACTCGTCTACTTGCTGTCTGTAGATCTGCCTCTCGTGGACATTTCACATGAACGGGTCCCATGCCCCATGCTCTTCTGTGTCTGACTTCCTTCGCTGAGCACGTTTTCAATGCTCATCCATGTTGTAGCGTGTGTCAGTGCGTCCTTCCTTTTCATAAAGGCCGAGGAAAGTTCCAGCACATGGAGGGGCCAAGTTTGGTTTGTCTACTCTTCTGTTGATGGACACCTGGGCTGTCTCCCTGTCGTCCATGGATTTTGATAATCTGGTCACGTGTGCACAGGGTCACGGTTCGTGTGTGTCCCCGAGATGCTCCCTGCGTTAACAGGCATGTGCGCTTCAGGCCGTAGGTGAGAGCCGCCTGTCCTCCTCTGGCCGCCCAGTGACCCCTGTGTACTGGTCTCTCTGGATGGACACGGTGGGCCTCGTCTTTTCCCACGGTGACCACCGGGCCAGTGAGCAGTCTCATAGATGCATCGTCTTTACAAGTGGGAGTTACCGGAGGCCTAACCTCCTAGAGGTGGCAGTGCACAGTCAAAGGTGACGTCACTGTCATTTTTGAGAGATTCTGTCAAACTTGCCATCACAGCTGCTTCTGTGCCTCCCGCCATGAGTGAGGGCGTTGGCCCGCATCCCTACCAAACTCGGGCCTACCCCGCATTCTTCCTTTGCCAATGGAGAGGTGGAAACCTGTGTCCCGTGGGGTCTTCGTTTGGCATTTCTTATCCAATGTCATGTGATATGTTTTAGAATCGTTGGTTTTGTTATCTGTGAAGTTCTCTTCTCACCCTGGGCCGCCTTGTGCTGCGTTGTTAGTCGTTTGTGGTTCCCCAGGGTTCTTACAGATTGGGGAATGTAACCCTTCGAGAGAGCAGTGGAAGATGTTTTTTCTAGGTTATTCGACTTTTGCCTTTGCTCATGGTGGTTTTTGCAATGGAAACTTTGTTACTTTGATGTAGTCAAATTTATCAACCTTTTCTTTTGTGGTTTAGCGTTTATTGCCTACTTAGATAGGCCTGCTATACCCTAGGATTATTTTTACTCATAACAGCTTTATTGAGATATAATTCACACACCAAACAGCTCACCCTTTTAGAGCGCACAGTTTGGTAGTTTAGTGAATTCACATGGCTGTGCAGCCATCACCACTGTCTCATTTCAGAATATTTTCATATCTCAAAATAAACCCACACCCATTTACCACTGCCGCCGCCCCGCCCCGCTGGAAGTGGGAAGGTCTGCTTTCTGTCTCTGTGGGTTTGCTGATTCTGGACGTTTCACGTCAGTAGAACTAAATGTGCCTGTGCCTCTCCTCCTCACCGAGCATCGTGTATTCAAGGTTCGTCCACGACGCAGCAGGAGTCAGCATGTCATTCCTTTTCGTGGCTGAGTCATACTCCATCGTGTGGATATGCACATGTTGTCGAACATTTGAGTTCAGTTGTGCACATTTGGGTTGTCTCATTTTTTCAGCTATTATGAACACTGTTGCTGTGAACATCCGTGTGTGAGTTTCCGCGCGGGCATACGTTTTCATTTCTGTTGGAATGGAGTGGAATTGCTGGGTCTTATGGTAACTCTGTGTTGAACATTGGAGGAGCTGTTTTCCCAGACAGCTGCACGTCCCCACCAGCAATATAGGAGGATTCCAACTTTTCCACATCCTCCTGACCCTATCACTGTCTGTCTGGTTTTAGCCGCCCTAACGGTATGAGGTGGTATTTCGTGGTTTTAATTGATTTTTCCCCGATGGCTGATGATGTTGAGCATCTTTTCATGTGCTTCTTGTTCATTTGTATGTCTTCTTTGGAGAAATGTTCATTCACATCCTTTGCCCATTTTCAAAATAGATTGTCTTTTTATTATTGAGTTAGGAGTCTTTATTATTGAGTAAGAGTTCTTTATATATTCAGGACACAAGTCCCTTATCAGATATAGTATTTGCAAATAGTTTTTCTCGTTCTGTGGGTTGTCTTTTAACTTTATTTTTTAAACAATATGTTAAAAATGCAAAAAGTGCAATTTATATTCTTAGGGAGCTATCTATGTAATTTTTTTATTACTGAGGTGAAATTCACGTAAAATTCATCATTTTAAAGTGAACAATCCAGCGGCATTTAGCACATTCATGATGTTGTGCAACCATCAGCTCTGTCTAGCTCCAAAATATTTTCATCACCTCAAAGGAGACCCCGTCCCATTAGCAGTCGCTCCCAGCCCCCCTCCCCCTGACCCTCTCCCCCAGCCCCCAGTCTGCATTTTGTCTCTGGATGGGCCTGGACATCTCATATGAATGGGATCCTATACCATGTGGCTTTTTGTGTCTGGCTTCTTTCATTTAGCATAATATTTTTGAGGTTCATGACATCTTTTCACTTTCTCGATGATGTCCTTTGAAGCATAAAATTTTAAATTTTGATGAAGTCCCATTTATTCTTTTTTTTACTTTTGTGGCTTGTGCTTTCGGTGTCAGATCTAAGAAACCATTTCCTAATCCAAAGTCACGAATATTTCCTCCTATATTTTCCCAAAATCATTTTTAAGATTATTCTGTCAAAACTGACTACAGTTGGGGCCAGCCCGGTGGCGCAAGTGGGTTAAGTGCATGCACTCTGCTTCGGCGGCCTGGGGTTCGCAGGTTCGGATCCCGGGTGTGCACCGATGCACCGCTTGGTAAGCCATGCTGTGACGGCATCCCATATAAAGTAGAGGAAGGTGGGCACGGATGTTAGCTCAGGGCCAGTCTTCCTCAAGAAAAAAGGGGAGGATTGGCATCAAATGTTAGCTCAGGGCTAGTCTTCCTCACAAAAAAAAAAAAAAAAAAACTGACTACAGTGGAGCCATTTTAAATGGAGTTGGAGTGCCTTTCCAGAGAAACAGCCTCGCTGTCTTGAACCTTGGATGGGGCCACAGAGGCCATTGTTCTACCAGCACTTGTTCAAGGGTCAGTGGAAGACCCAGGTCCTGATCACAAGACTGAGGATCGTGGACTTTGTGAAGATGGAATCAATAGTCAATCTGTGTTTACCCAGGACTCGCTCTCTGCCCCCAGCTCAGTGAGAATTCTCTGTAACACCACCCCCCTGCTTTGCCTTTGAAGGACACTGTCAGGGTTTCCACCTGAATCCGTGCTCCTGAATTGCAGTTCTCTCACCCCAAATAAACTTTTTGCTTCTATTGCAGTTTTTGCCTCTTATTCGTTGACAATCTCAAGATTTTTATCTGCTACTTTTACTGTCTAACTTTGGAAATCAGATCTTTAATGTGTGAAAGCTGTGTCCACGCCCCCATTCTCCCTCCCCCTGCTGATCAGCCACTGACGATCGTTTCCCCGTCGGTGAGAGATGCAGCTGTCACTGACCCTGAATTCATCTGTCGAATCCCATGTTGGATACTCGGTCCTGTTGGATCTATTTCTGGACCTCTTAGCCTCCCACTGAGTCAGGCTCTCTGGTCAGTACCTATTGTCTTTACAGCAGCATTTTAACAGGGCGTACTATCTGGTAGGAGGAGTCTTCATTTTCAGAATTTTCTAGGATATTTTTGCTTCTTAATTTTAAAATGAACCTTAGAATCATTGCTAGCTTTAAAAAATTCTCTTCCTGTGTTTTTTTTTTTTTTTTTTGAGAATTGCAAAAAACATATAGATCAACCTAGGGAGGCAGCCTGTCTCTCTCCTACCCCAGAATGGTGGTGTCTTGGTTCGAGGTTTCCTCTGTGTCCCACAGAAGCACGCAGCTTTTTTCTTCGTAGAAACTTTCACCATTTCTCATTTAGCTCATTCTTAGGTATTTTGCCTCATTGCTGCCGTAAATGGGTCTTTACTTCATGATATCTGCCAGCAGATTGATGTTTTATATAGAAAAGCGATTGATTTCAGGATTCTAATTCAGCACTAGCCTTTTGCTGAAACGTCTTGTGACTTTTTCCAGTTATCTCTTGGTCTTCCGTGTTCACGAACTGATGGTCCTGAGAGTGCAGTGACTTTAGAGGGAGGGGTTTCTCTCGGGGGACTGGAAAAGCCGCAGGATTAGAACACAGGAACCCCCTCTCCTCCAGCTTCCTCGGGGCCCCTCCTTCTCTGCTCCCCACACCCAGCCAGACCGGAGGCGGCTCCCTTCAGCCTCAGGGCCTTTGCACATGCTGTGCAGGGACACCCTTGCATGTTGCCTCCCCGAGAGCCTTTCCCATTACCCCCACTCCTGTGCACACCCCGTGTCTCTCCTTCTAGCACTGTTTACACATTGTCGTCATGCTCTGGTCTCGGCAGTCCTTCTGCCTTAGAGTAGCATGAGCTTCATCTGGGCCGGGTCTGGGTCTCTTGCTCTCCAGCCTGTCTCCAGGGCCCTGCCTATGCCCGGCGCACATTAGCTGCTCGCTAAATATTGGTCAAATGAGCGAATGAGCCAGGCCTTCGTGAGGCTGAGGTGGGGCGTCTGGGCTGAGGGAGCAGCTCTCCAGCTGGGGTGCCGATGTGGGGCAGGCCTGGGGACTGCAACGGAGAGAGCTCCAACACCATCCTCCAGAGGGGGCTCTCCTCCCTGCCTCCCTCTCCAGGGCCCCTTCACCTGCAGGGAAGTGTAGGTCCCGGCCCTCCTGGCTCACTCGAACATTTCCCCAGGACACAAGGGGGTGGGAGGTGCCATCCAGCCGTGGCCGAGCCCTAAGGGCCCTGGGGTCGTCCTGGCCCTGCCCCCTGGCATCTAGGTGCTCTGACCTGGTCCTCTCTCTTGCAGTTCATGGCCTCCCATGGGAACAATGCTGCGAGAGCCACGTACGAGTCCAAAGTGCCATCCTTCTACTATCGGCCCACGTCCTCCGACTGTCAGTAAGTGACAAAGGAGTTTTGTCAGGGTTGCTGGTGAACAGCGCTGGGCCCTGGCCTCTGCCCAGCCGGGGATCTGGAGACGGGTCCACGAGGACCCACAGGGTGGCGGGGGCGGGAGGAGGGGAGGGCTACCAAGTCCCAGGAGCGGGCAAGGGCCACGCGGGCGTGTAGCTCCATCTCTGCTCTCCTCCCTCTGGGTTTTGGTTCCTGGCGTGGTGGCCAGTGGCTGCAGGGAGGGTGGGGACTGACATTTTGCAATTAGTAGCTCTGGCCGCTTGGGTTCTAGGGGCACTGGGGGTCTCAGTGTAGGTTTCAAGGGTCCTCGTCGGCACCCCTAGGCAGTCTGGGAGGAGGATGCTGAGAGGCTGCTGTTACATGTGGCCCACCGTGGCTCAGCAGGGTGAGTGTGGCCGTGGGAAATGGCCAGGGCCCCTCTCCCACGTGGCCCCTCTCCCATGTGGCCCCCGCCTTCAGGAGTGCTGGCTTGGGCGACCTCACATCAGTCACTAACCTCTCTGAGCCTCAGTGTCCCCAGGGGCCGTCTCCTGATCCTTCCGTGAAGGGGCTCCTGATCATGGCTCACTGGCTCCCTCCTTCTCTGCCCGGACTTCTAAACCTCCTGAACCAGCCTCCCTCCCAGCCTCACTGGCCCAGCCCTGGGCACTCCCCCCAGGACGCCCAGGGCCCTCTGTCCTCCCAGAGCCCAACTGTCCTCTGGGACCAGAACCTGGGCCTTCCAGGAATCCCATTCTCCCGCGGGCCAGTGGGAGACCTACTTGTAGCTGCCTGTGTGGAGACAAGTTGCTCGCCCTCCAGAACTTTCTTTTTCTTGGCAAGGAGGGTAAGGACCCGGCCCGCCTGCCTCCCAGGCCGGCTGCGTGCTAGACCATCGCCAGGCGCTGCGCTCCCCGTCGTGCTGGATTCCGGCCCCTCCCACCCGCAGCACCCTGTCTCCTGTTTGCTCAGCGCTAGTCTTCTCCGACTCTCTTTGTAAACTGGGCACCCCGTGGGCGGGCTGGGAGCCGCGCTGGTGTGTCCTAATTCTGTGTTGAAGGGGGAGGGAGGGCTTCTCACTGCCCTAAGCAGGTGCCTCCGCTCAGTCAGGGCCGGGTCTGGGTTGTTGCAGGGAGAAGGGCGGGGGTTCCAGGACCAGGGGTTCCACTGCTTTCCCGGCCTCTCTATTCCTAGGACTGCGGCTCACCATGGGCCGGGATCCCATGAGGGGCTTGGCTGCATTTTCTCCGTGAGCCGCACTGAGCCAGGGAGGGGCCAGTTCAGATCCCCACCTCACAGATGGGGAGACTCTAGGCCGGCAGCTCCCTCGATGGCCTCACCCTCCTACGTGCCACCTCCACTCCTTCACCCCTTATGGTGGGCCTGGGGACCCACCTGGCTCAGGAGCCTTGTCACATCCTGAGACTCCCTGGCCTTCTCTGGGGCTCCCAGGGAAGTGGGCCCTCCAGGCTCTGCCTGGCCATCTGGTGTGAAGCAGCTATTTCTGGGACAGGATGCTCTGGGTCATTTGCATGAGTGCCCCACATCTCCCACCTGTGTGAGCTGTGAGGGGGGAGAGACTGGCCCACAGGCCCCTGTCCTTGCCGGGACACTGGGCACTTCCCTCTGCATCCTGATCCCTGTGAAGTGCTCATGGAGATGCTCCCTGCCCTGTGCAGGGACTGTATGGTCAGGGCCTCCCTGGGTGACCGGGTGTCCCAGGAGGAAGCATGCTCTGACCCCCAGGCAGGCCCTGCCCACCTGACCCTCCACCGGGTCAAGGTTCTCAGGAGCCAGGCTTGCACCTGCCCCCATGCATAGTAGGCACTCGGGTTGGCCCAGGCCAGGAGGCCGGGAGGGCGTGGATGCCAAGAGGGGTGGGGTCTGGAGAAGCTCCTCGCCGGGCTGGTATCAATAGTGAGACTCAACCAGGCACCCGTGAGACCAGGGAGATATGGGGGTGACATGCCTGGCTCACTGTGGAGCACTGTGCAATGATGATAGAGATGGGGTATGAATGCCTGTGTGGACTGTAGAGTGCCTTGGAGCGGTAGGAGGTGTGGTTTGAGAGTCCCTGTGTAGACTGTAGAGTGCCATGGAGAGGTAGGATGTGCAATGGAGCCCCTGTGTAGACTGTAGAGTGCCATGGAGCAGTAGGAGGTGTGATGGAGCCCCTGTGTAGACTGTAGAGTGCCGTGGAGCTGTAATGGAGCCCCTGTGTAGACTGTAGAGTGCCGTGGAGCAGTAGGAGGTATGGCTTGAGAGTCCCTGTGTAGACTGTAGAGTGCCGTGGATCAGTAGGAGGTGTGATGGAGCCACTGTGTAGACTGTAGAGTGCTGTGGAGCAGTAGGAGGTGTGATGGAGCCACTGTGTAGACTGTAGAGTGCTG